GAAGGCACAGGCATAGGCAGCTCGGCGGCTGCTCTGTCCTGGGGCTTCCCGCGCAATTCCATCCCCTTACCTGGGTCCCCTTGTGTCTACTGGCGACTCTTCGGGGCTTCTCCGGCTGGGCTGCTGAAGCGGCCCAGCCGTAGAAGCCCCATCCCTGCGTTCAGTCTGCAGATAGTCCTCTCCTGTCAGAGGCCCAGAGCAGACTGAGCGCTGGCCGGGGCTGACGTGGGCGGGACTACACAAAGCAGCCAGCCAACCCAGCCAGCGTCTTCTGACTGACAGTTCTTGCGCCCAAACACTGTAGGTGTGCATTGGAACGTTGGACCCCACTACGGCTTTATATAAGGGGAGAGATGGCTAGTATCCAGTGATAGACCTATTCTCCATGAATCTGTCTAATCCCCCTTTTAAAGCTGTTTATGCTTGCGTCCATCACTCCATCCTCTGGCAGCGAATTCCACATTTTAATCACTTGTGTAACAAAGTATTTCTTTTTGCTCAGTCTGAATCTATTGCCCATAAATTTCACTGGATGCCAAATTCTACTATTTTGGGGGAGGGAGAAAAAGTTATCTGCCCACTCTCTCCACCCCATGCATAGTTCTATAAACCTCTATTGTGAGCACCCCTTTGTCTCTCTTCTAAAATAAAAAGTCCCAGACTTCTTCAGCCTTTCCATCTATGAAAGGAGCTCCAACCCCTTAACGATCTTGGCTGTCGTCTTCTGTACTTTTGAGATACAGTGACCAGAACTGCATTTACAGGCTGCATGGCAGATATATACAGGGGCATTATAACATTGGCCATTTTGTTTTCCAGTCCCTTTCTTAATAGTCCCCTGCAGAGAGTTTGCCTTTTTCGCTGCTGTGGTACACGGGGTTGACACTTTCATTGAGCTATGTACTTATGATCCCAAGCTCTCTTCTTCCCCTCAGTTGGCCCATTTGTGTGTAGTATTACGCTGCCCACAGCATAAAGGGGGGGGGGGATGTGTGTTGGTTCATCAGAATTATGTGATCTACCACATATCTGCCACCAGCTCTGCAGAACCAAAGAAAACGTTACTTCAGGTCACTGCTTGAAGTGGTGAAAGAAGCAATTCCTCTGGGTGCAGTGTATTTTCAGGGTTACCATTTGCAGAATATAAATGTACAGACACATTGTCAGCATTAGCTGTGGATTTTCCGAAACTACAGCCAGAAAGAAAACCCATAATTACTGGGATGGATTGAGGGGGGAAATACATGAATCATTTTATCTCCCTGGGGGCTTACTGCTACTTAGCTGTCAGCAATGGCATGAATTTACCCATCAAGGCTGTTTATATAGGTACTGTTTTACTATAAACAATTAATGCTAAGAAATTGGGGGGCGGGTGAGAATGAGAGGAATAAAATGTCATAAAAGAACAAGAGGAGAAACATAGGAAACGATGACTTTTCTGGCAATACCACGTCGTAGTTCATGGCACAGACATTCAGCATATTTTGTGTGCCTCAGCAGAACCCTATTGTAGTCTGGAGCAGTCTAAAATGACATAATAGTCCAAGATATAACTACATCCCTATTTGTGTTAATTCAGAAGGCAGGCAACTGAACTCTGCTGCCATGGGTAGAGGCTCACTTCCATAGGTACCCTTCAAGTGACAAAAACCATGGCTGAGGTGTAATAGTTCAACTAGACAGAAGCATGAAACAGTTCAGCTATTTCACAGAGAAAGACCATACCTCTTCTCATTTGCAATGTCATTTAACCTACAGGAATCTTGAAAACAGAAGCATAATCTCTTTTGTTTCAGAAATTCAGGCTTACAATGTAGAGAGCTGCTTTTTGTTTTGTTTTTTAAGAGGAGGAAAAGTTAGAAATGACTGACCAGGCTTAATTGCCTTTATGCTGCAGGACGTTTGAAGCTGTTGAGGTATTTTATTCCCTTTTTCCATATGCAAATGTTAAGCCATTTTTATACATAGCAGAAAGGGCACATCTCATAATTGACAAATCAGCTAGCAAATAAAGAGGCTGATCATTAACTAAGACTCTCAATCTTTGTAGGGTGCTTAGAAGTAATGCCTTCACCAGTCTTTGCTCACTGACAACTTTTGCCATCTAGATATATGTAACTGAACTTATGCTTAACATGGTCTGTAACACATTCACAGGAACTTGATTTCAACTACCAAAAAGCAACCAAGTAATCTCAAATTCTTTTTACAAGCTGGAGTTGTCTGATTCAAACACAGCAAATGTCTATAGTTGCTGTCATATTCATATATACAACAGGTGAATTGATTTATAGTTTCATTGGTAATAAAAAAGGTGCAGAAACACTGCATATTGTGAGGAAATATTTTAAAAAGTAGTTCTTCAGAACTTGTGAGGAAATATTTTAAAAAGCAGTTCTTCAAAACAAAAAAGAAGCATCACATCTGCAATACTTATTTACGGAACCAAACATCTGTGCCACAATTCTTGCACTACAAGATGTTGCATTTAAATCCCGTTTATACTCACCTTTTACAAGACACTGACATCCTTAATATTGCACAGGGGTATTTTGTAAACTATTCAACCTTGCAAGTTTTTTACTTCTCAGAAATACAACTTGCACCAAGGAAAGTAGGCGAAAGTTTGGTTAGTATTACCTGTAATTTTCAAAGAGATGAAACGAGCAAGCTACACACGTGGTTGGTAGTTTTAATTTTCAGAAGCAAAAATCTATAGAAACATTGAGAAGAAACTACTTTGAGACTGCTCTTTATGCATGTTTTATGATGAAGGCTGTTAATACAATACATACGAAGTACATATTTTTAAAAACCAGCAGTCTGATCATTCTTTTGTGGGGCTGGGGTTTTTTCCTTTCAAAGAAGAAAAGGTATTTGCTCTCCAGGAAAATACCAAATATGAAGTTACTACAAAAAACTGTACCATATTTCCGGTGCAAACTTTTGAGGCAAGGAAATGTCTTTTGGCATTTGGCACTCCAAGGACAATATTTTAATACTGGCACAAGCTTTAAAAAAAAAAAAAAGCCACACCAAAAGACAAAATACAAGACGTGTAACTGTCACCTGGCCGATCATAGTAAACAATCCTGCGGAGGCAATATTACAAAAAACGGCTCCAAAACATTTTTTTAAAAAAACAACAAATTTCCGTTTTTCTAAACTTTAAAAGGAGAAAATAAAATCCAAAATGTCCTCTAGAAAAGCAGCAACTGCTGGAATGAACAACTTGTTGGGCGTTGAGTTGTCAATAAACATGTGACTCTTCGTGACTAAGAACCCGGATGCGCGAGGCCGGGCTGGTTGCACTTCGGATAACCTCCATCCACCTAAGTAATGGAGAAAACAAAGACAGGCTGCAGTGAACACCTGACCATGTAAAAGGTCCCAATTTCCCTACAAAAACAGCATGATGAGAGGCAGTAAGTCATTTAAATATTAGGGGCGATTCAGGACATTAAAATATTATAGCTAGCTAGGATGGGGGAATCTCATTTTTGTAAAAAACAAAACAAAAACAAAATTACATGCATGATAGAAAACTACAGCTTCCATCCTAACATTCTTTTTTATAACTCTTCTAAGTTTAGCTTGTAACAACAACAAAATAAAAATTCAGCAGCGGTAGGTTAAACATATTAGTACAGTCGAGACATGTTCCAATGGTCTATTGTAGATTAATGCTTTTTATAGAGCTCATGCCACTTCTTGTATTCACTTAGCAGTACTTAATAAATGCAAATCATGCGATAGTATCATGGGCATCGTTTACTTCTCCATATATTCTAAAAACAGCCATCTATTTAAAAAGTTCAGAGTAAGATAAGTTATTTGCAACTTTTAAATTGTGAAGAAATTGAAAATTCACAGGTTCCACACCTTCTCATACCACTACCCAATGGGAGGTATCTTATCTTTTCTTGAGTATGAAGCTATCAGAAATGTTGCTGCTGGTAGCAGTATAAAATTAATTCTCTTTTTGGATAGAGTTTTTATGTATCAGATTTTTCTAACAAGACAACTAAGGCATAGGACTTTGAATTGTGTGATTATTTCTACCTCTCCCAAGATCTTTTTTTGGGGGGTATTTGTTTGTGTGCGCATGTGCCTGGAAGTCATGGCTGACTTCTGGTGACCCCTAGTGGGGCTGAGAGACAAGGATGTTCAGAGAGGTGGCTTCCTGCCTCCCTCTGCGTCACGGCCCTGGTATTCCTTGGAGGGATCCCATACAAGTACTTGCCAGGGTAAGCCCTGCTTAGCTTCTGAGATCTGCCGAGACTGGGCGCACCTGGGCTATCCAGGTCAGGGCCTCTCTCAAGATCTTGTGATTTTCAGTCTTGTCCACCAGCACTGCAGAAAATTAGCTGGGTGGCCACGTCCTTCCCAACATAGACCTGAGTGCCCAGGTGTGATACGATGAAGATGAGAAGGCATGAGGTACCTCTGGCTCATACTTTTTCAACAAATCAACGAAACTGCATGCTCCGTCCTCAAGGCCTTGCATTTTATAATTCCTTATTTTGTTGCAGACACTGTGCCTGTTGAGTAAGCGCTATCTCCACTGCCGTGTCTGCTGTAGTCGAAACATCTTTTAAACTTCCCATTGACTTCACTAAGCTGGGAGGTAATACGCTCCATAAGAGATTCCGGTTTGGAAAATAAAGTTTCTTGTTGCTCTGCTTTGTAGTGAGCTCTTCAGCATTTTGGAGTTTCTCCGAACCTCATGTTTGCCCTGTAGCTCCCCCTTCTTCTTCCTGTTCAAAGGCTCTGCTGTTGCTTGGGGGAAAAAATTTTCAGGCTTGTATTGATTTCAGAGCGTGCTTTCTCCTTTCTTTGCCCATTCTCACCTCCTTTACGTGTGCAGATAAGGCTGTTTATCGTAGATAAGTGGGGAGAGAAAGCGCTTGGGTCCAGAAATCCATCAGCAGTGCCTCTTCCTCCCAGCCTAACATCCGGAAGCTTGTAACATCCCCCCCCCCATTCAACATACAGTTTAATTAAGGAAAACGTGCCATAATTTAGTAAACTGATTGCATTGCAGAGAAAGGGCAAGGAGAAGGTGCAGGACAACTTCCTAAACGCTTCCTCTGCCATGTAGTTGACCCCCAACGCTAAGGCAGTGAACCACCTGTTCCAGTTTTGTCTCCCTCTTGCCCCTTCTCTCCTTTTTTTTTTTTTTTGGTTTGCTTCTTCTGTCCCACCGCCAGCAGTGACAAGTGAGGGCACGGGGCAGGAAAATCTGAGCGAGATGTAAAGTATTTTGGCAAAATCGCCTCTCACGCTTCCACTCGCATCAGTGGAGGGAAGTGATCTTACCCAATTGTCCCAGAGCCCTGTGCTGTGTGGCCCTGTTTGCTGACCAGGCTCTCCCGACCCTTAGAGAGGAGTTCTGAGGCAACCCACAGGCTGCTGAGGGAAGGCAAGAAAGAGCTGCTCCACCAACTCCTTCAGTAAACTCTTCTACTGGATTAATTACAAGCCTGGGAGTTCTCTTCCTGCTTGAGAGAGAACGTGGGATGAACGTTTCGTGTGTGTGTGTGTGTGAGCAGGACAATCTGCTGGCAGGGGAGTTTGAGACTCTACATTTTGGATTAACAAATCATTTACTGCTGGGTCTTGGCCTTTGCCATGTCCAGGTACCAGATTAAGAGGTGGCAGCCACATGGTATTAGGGAAGGGGGGGTGCGCTGCCCTGTGAGACTATGGGAAGAAGAGGAGGAGGAGGAGACTGGATTTATATCCCAGCCACTACCTGAAGGAGTCTCAGAGCGGCTTACGCTCTCCTTCTTCATTCCCCAGACACCCTGTGAGGTAGGTGGGGCCGAGAGAGCTCTTTCGAGAACTGCTTGTGAGAAAACAGCTCTGAAAGAACTTGTAACTGACCCAAGGTCACACCAGCAGCTGCATGTGGAAGAGTGGGGAATCAAACCTGGTTCTCCCAGATGGGAGTCCGCGCTCCTAACAACTGCACCGAACTGGCTCTCGGATGCCAGAGAACCCTAAGGCTGCACCAGAGGACAGGATGAAGGGGGTGCTCTTCAGTGGACATTCTGAGAGTCTAGCAAGGCCAAGAAACACGTCTGTGCCGGAGGTGCTGCCATCATTGGGTCTTGTCCTTACCACTGAACCCACCCCCACCCCCTTAGCAGTGGAATGAAGATGGAACCTTTGTCTGGGGGCTCATGGTGGTTCTCAGCAGTCCTGGAGGATTCATGTCCATTGCAGCCTCTTCCCTCACGGGAGATGCCAGAGGTCAGGCTGACTCTTGCCCAGGTCTAGGTGTGACTGCTCAGCACCGATTAACTAGCTAATGCCGGGATTCAGCTGTGCCGACAAACAGAAATGAAGCATACCGTTCAAATGTGTATTCACTTTCTGCCCTGAAATAGTACACGTGGGATTTGAAGTGTAGCTTAAAGACATAGTCTTTATGGATGTTCTCAGATTCAGAAGGAATGGTCAGAGAATAACCCAGCAGAGGAAGGCTAGCTAAAGGATGATTGTCCTGAAAACAGAAAGACGAGAAAGTGCTGTTAGAACATTCCATGTCACGTCCTTTGCGCCCCAAACTGACAAAGCTTCGTACAGGTAAAAAACAGCAGTGCTGCTGCCCAGTTAAACATATTGGTTGATTGAGCAATCAAAGTCTTTAACGACTTGATCGAATTTGTGTAAATGTATGTATGAATTCAAACATAATTTCCAAAGGAAGAAAGCACCGTGTCCAGAGGGTGTGCGTCCATGTCACAACAGATCCCACTGCAGAAAAGAGAGGAGGAGGAACGCCTCTTCTAAAATCACATCTGCCAGTTTTTGTCATTACATTTTAAAAAACTATGCTGATTCATAGCATAAAATTAAATATCGGACTGGCTTCTTTATTCTGATACAGAAAGCTGTGCACCAAATCGTCGTGTTCCCCATTCTCACTGAGCTCTTTAACTTTCGACAAGTGTTTACTGTCAAGTCCTGGTGAGCTCTACCGTGGGTTGGAACTCAGATAGATGGGGAACGTGGATTCAGCGCAAGAGCTCTATTTCCCTCATCCTTCCACATCATGTCGCTGGGGGGAGGGAAGGTTTAATTGCAGAGGCAAGCTCCCCCAAGCGAATTTGATGGCAGAGTACAGAATCTAAACCCCAGTCTTTGAACTCTGGCCACTATGCAACACGGGCTGCGTTGAACTTACTGCAGCACTTAAACTTCCCTGCCTAATCGATCAAGTGCCTTAGGACAACGGGCGTTAACATTTTTTTCTCTCCGTGTGGTCAGAAAAGCCCCACATTGATACAGGAGGATTCTTCTCCAGCCTCAGCCAATCAGTTACCTGATGGGATTTGTAGAAAAACATGCAGAAGTTGGTGAATACCACCCAGAGCTTCTGCCACCCATTGCTGTTCTTGAATTTTCTCAAAAGGTTTCCAGAGAGTTGATTCTGAAAGTGAGAGAGAGAGAGAGAGAGAGAGAGAATGCAACGGGACTGAGCAAACACACACACAGACGGCAACAGGTGGAAAGAAGACAAGCCTCAAGTAAAATGCTGCTGTTTCTACTGGCATTGGATTACTTCTTTGCCTCTTTTTGGTTCTCTTGATATTGTATTCTCAGATACAGAATTCCTCCTCATCAGCCTTTAAATGAGGCTTGCCTATACACTAGCTTTCTAAGGTAAGAAATTAACTGCTGTCACCTCATTAGCTGCAGAAGTCTGTAAACCAGCATGCTAATGATATCATTGGTCATAGTAAGTTTTCTACAAAAATAGTCTAAATTCCACACAGAAAAGCAACTTTTAAGACTGCTACTAAAAATGCAGAATCATTCTTTGAGTAACTTAAAGCCCCAAACGTGATGCACAAAGAAGGCTGAACATTAGAAGGTAACACCTGTAGAAGAATGCCTGCTATTGTTATTTGCCTGCTATTGTCACTTGCCTGCTAATGTCATTCAGCATCTGAAGTCACTCCACTTTCCAATATATAGGATGGATGGACTCCCATTCTAGCTGTATCTGAAGAAGTGACTCACGAAAGACCCTACACCCTGCCACAAATTTTGTTAGTGTTTAAGGTGCTATTGGACTCTTGCTCTTCCCTACTGCTGCAGACAGACTGCTAACACACGGCTGCCCATCTTGATTAGAAGGTAGATGTCTTCTATCCACAGGTCTGGAATAGTGACTCATTCTCTCTCGTCAGCTAATGGTGTAGCAGTCCCTGCCATGATTAAAACACTGCACTTTCTCTCTGTGAAGAAATGAAGGAAGCAGCCACTGATCTGAGGAGCTCTTTGCCTCTGGATTAAACATGGCAGTGATGTCCAGTGCTGAAACACACACGTTTTCTGATGTGCTGTGGTGGAGGCATTTAAAGTCATACATCTTGAAATTCCTTCCCCGTCTCTCCTCTCTCAAAGCAGAGCATCAGCCATCCAGCGACTAGCATTTACTATCTCCTTATTTAATTATGTTATTGGTAGCCTGACTTTCCCCCTGAGACTCAAGGTGGATCACTGGTGCTTGTGATTTAGCAATTCAAGGAGCACTCTCCAGTCAAAGAAACTGAACTGCTGCAAAATGCAGAGGGGAACACGTTACATTTCCCCTCTGTTATCAGAAATGGCAATTGATTTCTTTTTAATTAAACCTTTTTTAAAAAATCTGAAAGAAAAAGGGAATATGTGTGTCTGTGTGTACTCCCTTTAGCTTCTACTTTCTGCTTTGGTTACCTCATCACTCTGAAGGATATCATAAAAGGACAGGCTTTGCATTCGGTACCAGCAGACATATGAAATGGAAACCGGCCGCTGATCACTGATCAGTCCAGCAGGAAGGGAAGTACAGTCACTGACAGTGAGAGGATCTTCTACCATGAGAGAGAGAGAGAGACAGAAAAGGGGGAGAAAGACACAGAAAGAAAGAATAAACTATAATGCTGATGTGACATTTATCCACAGAATTAGGGAAGTATGATTGTAACTTGCCCTGCTAAGGAGAACAAGCTGTGGAATGGAAGACAGATGCGTAATGTCAGCTCTCCTTTTAGGTTGCTTATAGTGCGTTCTGATCATTCAAACTGAATTTTAAAAAAGACAACGTTAACGCAGAAAGGAAAAGCTTGCTTAAGGCAATTCAAAAGAGCGCTTGGTACTTTGGAGGCTTAGCTTGCTTTACAGCTATTTATCGATTCAATAGAGCTATTAGCTAAACTTTTAAAGCGTTCTTAATAGCCCCATTACACAATGCAACTATAGCAACCTAAAGGCATTTTCTGGAGAAATGGGTATCTGCAGGTACCTTGAAGAAGCTAAACCAGTTTACAATACAACTCAAGCGGCATGTTATCCTTTCCCCTAGAACCAATTATTCTGGTGAGATGTTTGATTCAGCAGAAATGTTTATTTTTCAGCCAATCTGATGTGGGGTTTTTATTACATTTATGACAGGCAGCCCAAGAGAGGCCTATAACAATATGTTCAAATATGTTCCAAACATGAGGCATCATATTCCAATGACTTGAGTAAAACTGGTTTAGCTTTATTTAAAAAAAAAAAAACACTGAGAAGGGGAAAAGTCACACGGATTTCCTGTGATAGAGAAAAGACAAGTGAGGAAACGAGACTGAGATCAGAACATTTTAAGATTTCAAGAGGGGGAGAACCTATAATAAAACAAAACTGCATTAAATTTACATTTCAAACTGCAGCACCCAGAGTCAGGGCCAACATCCTTTCCAAAACACTGAGGTAAAAATAAACAGCAGTAATAAAATACTGAGAGGAAATGTTACTTGTCTCAAGATCTTTAAATTAATTTGCCTTAAAGGTATCAAAACTTTGGTGTCAAATAAACAGGTTGTTTAAAATGATGAAATGTTTAATATCATTGGATTTAGTGCTGGCTCCCAAGAACCAAGGACGGGCACGGACAGATTACTGCTTCCAAACATGAGGCAGAAAGGAAATTGTCACTGAAGGGTCATATCTCTCTGGGGCTGCAGTCCACCTTGTTCTGAGGCAGATACCTCCACAGCAATACTAAAGTCGACCATGGAAACGCTGGTATTTCTGTGCCAGCAGACGTGCACCGTAGTGTTGCCACGGTGAGGAGCCTGACGTTCAAGCGAAGTGCGGGATGCATTGAGATCGTCTTCCGATTCTTGGTCTACGGTTGGCTCCTCTGGGGTCTCTATGAAACGTAGGGAAAAACCATCTCTTTTTTCCCCTTGTACAAAATATAGACTATGAAAACATTAAGCAAAAGATAGAGCACCAGTGAAACTTAGGCTGGGATCACACGCACCAGTAGATCCGACATAGGTGCAAATGCCTGACGGATCTAAAGGGCATGATCAGACAGCAACATCTGGGAAACATCCCGCAGTCATCGGCGAGTTGCAACATCTGGGAAACATCCCGCAGTCATCGGTGAGTTGCGCTGCTCTGCCATGGAAGCAGAGTAAAAAGACACTGCTGAAAGTCCAGTAGAAAATGGTTTCCAACGGACTTTCCCCTGTCTGATTGCTCAAGCGCATTCTCATGCCGTCGGGATGGTTTGATCAGGCCATCCCGGCTTGGTGCTGTTTCCCCGCCCCTTCACAGTATGCGCATCATCGCATATCCACAGGGGGCCCTCGATGCGGAGGTGCTATTCCTCGTTTATGCGCATGGGAAACAAACGGGAAAAAAAAAGACTCACCCACAGTTGCGTCTGATCACACTGTAATGGGCTGCACTTGCAGCTACAAAAGGAGATATGATCTTGCAACTGCCGGTCGAATTACTTCAGAGGGAAATAGCCTCGCTTCCCCTCCACTTCAACGGGTGCGTGTGACCGCAGCCTTATTTCCCCAAACCTTGGAAGACCCATTCTGTGCAATATGAAGTGGGGGATGGAGACACACAGAAATTTATGGGGAAATAACCCATGCCCTGTAATTTGAGATAAACTGCAGCCCCGAGCTGGCACAGAATTTAGTGTGCTAAATCTTATGGCCATCACTGAGCTTGAGCTGCCTTGTGGCTTATGTAAAGCAACTTTGCTTAAATTTGTTTGCCACATTCGGTCCTGTTTCGTTTCTTCTTTTTAGTATGAACCCATTAAACTCCGTACAGAACACTGTAGATTCCAAATGTCTCAACAGCATGATAACTTTACAGAAATTAACGTGAAAAGTTTTATAAAACGTTTTAGAGCATTAGAAGTATATTTGTGTCTAACTGCGTTTTACTTCCCTAAAACGAACACTGCTAGAGAGAGAGAATTTTGTTGCAATAAAAAACAAAATGTCAGCACAGTCTATCTGAAATTATATCAAAGCCGAGACAATGCTGAGAATCCATTAAAAGTGCACATAGGTAAAGATTTAGTTCTAGCTGCACTGCTAAAAGTAGTAGACCTCATTCCCTTAATGGTTTTAAAATATCTTTCCCCCCCGGAATTTTTGTGGGCTCTCCTTATTCTGCACTTACTAGTATCAGGTGGGCTACTCCCCAGAAATTCAGGAGTGGGGCCATTACATTTCTCAGCCAGGTCAATTGCCATCTGTATGTCCTCGATCCATTTGTCCATTTCAGAGCGGCTGCTGGGATAGGAAGGCAAGTCCTTGGTTCATTTTATTGCAAGCCACATTCAGCTTCATGAATGGATTAAGCTGGCCCTCTCATATTACACGTAATCTAAACAGGCTACACATACATTAAAATGTACAATATCCTGCCTGTATCAGCTTATTAAAATATATAGAGTCAACTATGCCAGTGCATTCTCTAGAATAATTTACTTATTTATAGAATTTCTTTGCTGACTTTCCACCCTATTCAGGGTAACCAAGGCAGCAAACGTCAACACATCAATTTCAGACATTAAAAAGTATTTAAAATACAAATAAATATAAAATATTGAAAACTATAAAATAAAAGAAACACAGAAAACCAGTAGCACAGAAAAAGGGCGAAGGGCTTATAGGAGTTAGTACAGGAATGGCAAACAAAACAAGAAAGTCTTCACCCACTTGCAGAAGACAGTGATAGTGGGAGACAGACGAATCTCCCTGGGGAGGGAATTCCAAAGTTTCGGTGCCACAACCAAGAAAGCCCTTTCTTGGGTTGCCACCTATCTAGCCTTAGACAGCATGGCCACTCAAAGCAGGGCTTCTGACGATGACCACAGGGCTCAGGTAGGTCCATGTGGGTTCAAATATTTGAAATAATATTTTCTGTAGATTGTGTACTATTGTTGGGAACATCTAATAATGGACTTAATAAAACACACATGGTACAGAACTAATTACCTTGCAGATCAGCATAGTACTTGGATCTCTATCCATCGATAAGAGACTATGATATGGTTGTTGTTGTTGTTCAGTCGCACAGTTGAGTCCGACTCTCTGCGACCCCATGGACCAGAACGTGCCAGGCCTTCCACCGTCCTCTGAAGTTTGCTCAACTTCATGTTCATTGCATCTATGACACTGTCTAACCATCTCATCCTTTGCCATCCCCGTCTACTTTGACCTTCAATCTTTCCCAGCATCAGGGTCTTCTCCGGTGAGTGCTCCCTTCTCATTTGGTGGCCAAACTATTT